TGAATACTGATCTCGTGATGGTACCTGGACGGTTGACTTCACAGCTACACATTGTAGTGAATAAGCATTTGGAGGAACATTTGAAGCAGTTATATTCTGAGTGGCTCTTGTATGTATGTATGTATGTAAAGGGTGGGCCATAAAAACTGGCCCCCGCACTCTGACCTTCAATGATCTGTTGTGCTTTCCCTTGGATTAGCTCTTTATTAATCCTACACTTTTAATAAAGTGTAGGACCCTGCTTATGGGGTCATCATAAAAGTCACTTCGTTCGATAAAAGACTGACCCAAGTGATGAAATCTTAAATAAGCTATGGTCCCGCATTCACAGAGGATGCGTGTGGCCGATTCATCATCTTGTAGGCACTTTTCACAAGTTGGGTTATCAATGAGTGGCTCTTGGTAGGGGACCAATTTCTGACCCCAAACTGGGTCACTAAAGGAGCACAGTCTAGAACAGGTGTGCAACTGAATCAAGACCATGGCAGCATATCTCTCCAGAAGTAATAGTTAAAGTATGTAAAAACTACTGTATGTCTCATGAAATAGATGGAAAGGAGGACAAGGAAGAAGTTTGGAATGTTAGCTGTGAATGTGTGGCTGACAATGGGGATTTGTGAAGGCACTGAATTTGAGACAGTTCATAGGGTTGGTGAACAGAGTGAGACTGGTAGAGCTGCTGAACGAAGACCAATGAGTTTGAAAAGGAAACAGTCGTTTAATGTCATATGCAATGTGTCCCAGGAGGAAAGGTCAATAATCTGAGAGGTCATGGTATCAGTCATTCTAAGAAAAAAAGTGTATATATACGTGCCCCATTCTGAACGGTTTCTGATATACAGCTGTTTCACTTTTGTTGATAACGATATATTATGTACTGTTTCTAATACCAGTATTTATTGTTCAAGTGACAAAGTTGACACAGTTTACCTAGTATAATACTGTGATACATCAATGCCCTTCCAGGCAATGGTTCAATAAACACCCAAAAGTATGTGGGTCATACCAAAAGTCATGAGCAACTTTTTTTTTTTTGCATGCAACCTGGGAACAGCAGACAAAAGAGAGTATGGTGGTAGGTGGAACCAGCTGTTGTGTTAACCGTGAGTGTCTTGTGACGTCAGTAGCTTGCATCACGTGACCAGTATCACTCCTAACAAAATGCCCGACAACGATATGTCGTTTCACCAGCGTGCTGTCATCGAATTTCCTGTGAAAGAGGAAATCCCTGCTGCAGAAATTCAGCAGAGACTTCAGTTTGCTCATGGAAGTGTGTGCATGGGTGCAAGCAGTGTTCGAAGATGGGTGAAACATTTTAAACATGGGAACACCAGCATTGAAGATGAGCCTCAGAGCCGTCGTCCTAGAACAGCCTCAACTGAATGCAACAAGGAAAGAGTGGATGAGATCATTCTAGATGACAGGCATGTGACTGTGGACACAGTAGCCCGAAAACTTGGAATAGGGCACAGGAAATGATGAAAGCTTGGGCTATAGGAAAGTTTATGCTCGTTGGGTCCGGCGGTTATTGACCGAAGACCACAAACGTCAGCAAAAAGCCATTAACTGAGAACTGCTGCAGAGATATCAACACGAAGGCGATTTTTTGCTCTGTATTGTGACAGGTGACGAAAGCTGGTTTCACCATTTTGAGCCTGGAACGAAACGGAACGGCAGAGTATGGAATGGCACCATTCGCATTCTCCATTAAAAACGAAGGCAAAGACAGTGCCATCAGCTGCAAAGGTGATGGGCACAGTTTCTGGGATGCAGAGGGGTTTATTCTGGCCGAACTCCTGGAACCTGGGCCAACCATCAGTGCTGCTCGTTATGTCCAGACGCTGCACAAGCTCCGTCATGCATTGCGCGATAAACGTCTGGGACGAAACATCATCCTGCATGACAATGCTCGCCCCCACACTGCTCACCTCACATTGGAAGGAATTGCAAAGATGGGATGGGAAGTTCTTCCACACCCCTCCTATAGCCCTGATCTGGTACCCTCTGACTACCATCTTTTCGGATTTGTGAAGGATCAGCTGCATGGACAACGTTTTGAGGCAAGGGTGGCAATTCAGAAAGCAGTGCATCAGTGTCTTCAGACGGCTGGAATGGAATTTTACACAAGGGGAATTTTCAAGCTCCCAGAACGCTGGGAGAAATGTGTACAAAGAAGTTGTGATTGTGTGGAAAAATAAAGGAAGGTCTGTAGATTGAGGTGGTGTATTTGGTTTGTCAATAATAAAGCATGTTAGTTTACAAAAAATTGTTGCTCATGACTTTCAGTACGACCCTTGTACATGCACACTGTAATGCCATGATGACAGGGGTGGTTAAATCAAAATACTAAATTACTATGTCAGCCATTTCTCTTTGGCTAATCCCACCGCTGCCACCACTTATTGTGCCACAAGGATTGCGACACAAATATTGCTCTTCTAAATCTTATCGCTGCCACCAATTGTTCTGCCATAAGGGGGGGTATTTAGTAATTACCAAAAAAACAGTAGATCACAGTAGTCTACTCTCTGTCGGCTCCTGTCCCTTAGGAGCCTCTCCCCTTCCTCCGGCTTATTCTTCCTGTAAGGACTGTTGTTGCTCCCAGGCTCGAGCTCACAGTTCCCATAAAACATAGGGTAAGCGGTAAGGGGAAGGAGCCTAACGGGTTGTACCAATAAAATTCTCCACTTTTCCATCCTACTGTATTCGTCTAGTATCTACATACATACACATATATACTGTAATTAATGCTGACTGCCATCGGGTCGCACAAGGTTCACATATGCTCGTTATCCCTCCTGTACTGACACATGGTACCCTAGCCTGTTATGTTGCTCATTTTAGTCACTGGTGTTGTGCCCGGATAGGGGGCATTGACTGTACTCACCCCCTATCGGACGTCCATTGATATCACTTAACCTATGCTGTAGAAAACATGCTTCACTAGGAGGGTCACAAAAACTCGAGTTCTCCAAACGAACAACAAAAATGGAATATATAATCAAATTAAAACACTTATAGACCTCTAAATTCTAAAAACACATTGACCCACCAAAATCATTTAAACCAGAAGTTCTAATAAGCCATCAGTGACCCGACCACGGGCAAGTACTCACACGCGCTGAACATGATGCACATGAAAAACACTGGCGCCATCCCAAGGTTTTCCACAGGCACACTTTGCTTTGCTCCGTTTCTGGCAACTGCTAGAAACAGTGCCTGAAGCGGCCTGTTTTCCCAATTCCAAGATTCAACTTTTTCCCAAGTTGCGAAAGCTGTGCGTGCGAAATCCCTGAAGTCAGCATCTTGCCGGACATGTCTTGTCACGCGAAGCGAAACCTGACCAGGTCTTTCCACTGATGCGTAAACAGTCTTTTCTAAAGACAATTCGATCGACTGCCAAGGAATGCAAAGAGTCAGCCGCGGTTCTGTCTCCCTGCCTTCCAGCCAGCCGTCTGGCATTTTAACCTAAACATTCAATCTTACAAAAATTATACTTAATAACTAATGAAATGGGCTCAACACTGGGTTTGCACTTTATTAATATCACCTTATATTTCATGGCTAATATGAGTAGTTCGACTTACTTGAGACAGAGATGCAGACGATTACCAACCACCACTTGTCGGTGCCATGACGGACATAGCCTCCAGCTACATTTCTTGAAATGATTGTTTGATTAGCCTTGAATAGTTCCCATTTCGATACTTTTGTACTCTGAAATTGACAGCTCATCAACTTCCGTGAAGGTGAGCTCCCGCCCCTTTCTGACGCTATTTCTAAGGGTGGCTAGTACTCATTGGATAATTACTTTTCACGGCGGCGAATCGCGTTCTTCCAGCCTCTGTCTACTCAGCATTTCTATTCCTCCCAGTGTTTTACCTTTATGAGCGCTTGCTTCCGCGTTGTCACCGCGGCTGTGCTGAGCTAAAACATTCTTTTGCCACGGTGTTTGCCTTCCGCATTTCACAAACACGGACCTTGTGACAGCATGAAATCTTTTTAACAATCCAAAATATAATGTCGATGCCCCCCATATAACATTTGTACATTTGGGGCATAACACACACAACAATAGAATAATGGGGTAATGGGGTTATGCAACCCATTTCTAGGCAGTGGCTCAGGAAACACAGTTCTGTGTAGGCAGTGACATCACACAACAGTGGATAGTGACTACTTGACATGTTTTCTGTAGGTCTATGTCAGAGTTTTGTAGGGGATAACAAAGGTCATTTGTAGGCAGTCGTAAGCCTGAGGAGCGAAGTAGAAGCTAGGAACAGTTGAGTACAGATTAGGACAGAGGAGGATAGAGTGAATGAACAAGAATCCAGCCACCAAAAACTATTGTTACCTACCCTAACACCTTATCATTGTTTTTTCAGCCTTGAGATGGCTTATGACGCCACACACTTACATACTATGCTACAAACTCTTCCCTGGTGGGATCTTTTAGGTTTTCCTTACTCGTTTTGTCTTCATACAGAGAGCAAAGCCATTCATTTTGTTCTGATGGTATCGTAGGTTGTGACTTGATATTAGACTGGAGGAAGTAGTGTTAATTAATCATTGTTACAGACCACAGATTATACTTGTAATCTGCCAAATTTATCATTTCTAATTGTTGAATGAAGTGATAGACCATATCCAGTTCACATTCACAGTGTACTCAGTTCTAATCCAGGCCATGAATCAGGTATCTTAACCTTGGGTTTTCATAATTATCTGTAGTCCTTCCATGCAGCTACCGAGTTTATACCTAGAAATAAATAGTGACTGCCTTCTCGTGCTTTCCAGTTCACTGCACTAAATAACCCATGTGGTTGGTACAGTGTTACTAAATAACCTGTGAAGAAACTCTGCAGCCATTTGTAGTTCTAATTCAGTTCGTTGTTATTTCGTGTATGAGCAAGTTCGGTGATTGAATCCAGATGCTTTGTATGTGGTATAAATGCATTTACTTTATTCTAATTTACCTACATTTTGTTTGTGATATTGAGACTCCTGTGGGTAGCACACTTGGAATTCAGTCATAATAAGGAAGTCTGTGATTTAACATGGGACAAGGTAGAAGCACGACTGCCTCGGACAGAAAAATTGCGTTCCATGGTTCGGGCAGGAATACCTCATTCTCTCCGTCCTCAGATGTGGATGCGCCTGTCAGGTGAGATATAAAATCTGAAGTTATTTCTGTGATTCAGTGCAGTGAAGTCTTGTTGGCTGATCAGCCATTTTGGAAACTGTTTATGCCCTCATCATCATAGATTATGGTAAAGAAGAAAGAAATTATTATCCCCATATAATTTTACAGGAAATATAAATAAGTACAAAAAGCAACAAGAAGTTCTGGGAAGAACTAACCGCCTACTTTCCTTTGATATGACATCAACCACAAAGAAAATGAACAAATTAAGGGGGTATATGCAGATGGCAAGGTAACCTCATAAGCCTAAAAAATTAGAGGGGGATACACAGATAGACAGAGAGCAGTGTGATCTCATAAGCCTCTTATTTTTTTAAAGTAAGGAAAGTAGGCAACAAATAGTTCCTGAAATTTTATTACAGATCTTTTCCATTGAAACACAAGTCAGTTTTATTTCATATCAGTACAGTTATTTCCTCATAAAGTTATATTGCTCTAAAATAAAAAGCCTCAAAGTGTCAGCTTCTACTTCAGAGTATGCAGTTGGAATGACATGTCATTTTTATGAGTCAGTCAAGAAGTAATGCTACAGGTAATTTTACTGGGTACTGAACCATTGGTTTATGCCTGCAGGTGCATTGCAGAAGAAGTTTTCTTCAGAAATGAGTTACAAAGATATTGTGAAAGCTTCTAGCAATGATGCACTTATGACATCTAAACAAATTGAAAAAGACTTACTACGAACCATGCCAGGAAATGCATGTTTCAGCCATATGGATAGCACTGGAATACCACGACTCCGCAGGTTGTTGCGAGGGCTGGCGTGGCTTTATCCAGACATTGGGTATGTTCAAGGGCATCATTGTAATATGGGAATTTCTTAGTACAATACTTCATGTTTTGCATTCTGAGGATTTACTGATGAAACTGTAAACTGGATGTTTTGTGCAACTTGTGTCATTCATTTGGAAAAATAACAGGATAATTCTGCTAGGCTTGGCCAACTCATTTCACAATAAATTAATCCTATGTTACATGAATTGTACTTTTTTTTTTGGAATAATTCACTGCTAAACATTAGTATTATCTTAATCATTTATAATGAAAGGTAAGTGATTAAGGAACCTTATTTGTGCCCTCAGAAGAAGTAATATTGTCACCTGTTGATGACTGGACACAAGGTTTTGATTGATTACTGAATTTATTAATGCTTAATACTTGTAACTAGAAATAATTATGACATATTCACTATGCCACACAATCTAGAAACAACTGCAGCTGGTGACTAGATGCAAGGTTTGGAATAATTACTGAATTTAATGAATGCTTAATACTTGTAACTACAAATAATTTATGACCCATTCACTGTGCTACACATTCTAGAAACAACTGCAGCTGCAAATAACTGCTATATCTTCACTCCCCATTGCTTGGTAGCAGCTTCTAACAATGTGGATTTCCTTTACTGCTTTCATGTGAAATGGCTCTTGTCTTTGCTGGCTGGCAACTGGCTGCTAATCACCGACTGCAGTCTTGGTTCCCTTCGTCCTTCCTGTATAACTTTGGCATGGACCACATAGAAAACATTGTTTCTGGCAGTTCCTCTGTTGTTTTGCTGCAGGAACATGTTTACCCAGCTGTTGCATAGCAGTGGATATCATCTCTGACTCCACTATTCCAGCTTTCAGGTGTCATTTTGCATGTGAAATACATGCAGATGATGCGTGTACATCATCTCCTACCATCATGCCTTCCATCATTCTGTATTTGTTTAGAAATTTTAAGAAGTAAATAATTGTTTCCCTACCATAAGAACTTCAGTACAGTGTGCTCATGATTACAGCCATTTTTCCGATTTGTCATTTTTCTCTCTTTTAGTCATCATTTTGTGGAAGTGATTGTGAAGCTGTAGTTTAAACCCTTAAAGTATGTCTAGACCAGGATACTTTGTTCAGAAATATTGTATCCCTTCAGTTCGACACTTTTGTTTCTTGACTGTTGAGAAACTGTTATAAATAGAATCAGAATACAGATGTTAAACAGTGTTATATGTCCACACCTAGCAGCTGGAACTACAGCTAATAAAAAGAGTGTGAAAAGTAACGAATGCAGCATCTGCTGCTTATGTTATAATTTCTTTGGGAGAAAGGAAAGGGGAAGGGAAAATGAGGTGAAGACCTGGATGTTGGTGGATGAGAACATTGTGTGAAGATGGAACAGCAGATGGGGATAAACATATGACAGAACTAAGAATAGGGAATAGAAGTGGGTTTTAAAACTTCTGAAGAATATCAGCAACTGATTTTTAAATGTTACTAAAACTGATTCATCCAAGCATCTGTCAAGTGGGAACAAAGTGTTGAACTGCATTGTCACCAATAATAAGGCCAGCAGCATATACATTTGTCAAGGAAGGAGACATTCACTGACCAGATTTATCAGATTGTTGCCAGTGAACGTGACAATATGAGCAATGTATGTGAGATGGAAGAAGAGAATTGTGAAGACACTGAAGGTGAGACACAGTAAGATTGATGAACAGAGTGAGGCTGGTGAAGCAGAATAAAGCCTAAAGGAAACTAACTCAATAAATGTCATGTAACATGTTTTTAGTGCATGTCTTCTTTCACATGTTTGTAGTAGGAGCATGAAATTGATTAATAAAATTGGTTCTTTTGTGCAGACATGTTCTGTATTGCAGGACCATCTTACATTCATGATCATCTGATGCGAAAAGGGATTGGTATTGTATTTGCCAGAATGGAAGATGAGTTTCCCCCCATCTCTTTTGAGAATTAACAAAGCTTTGGGTGGTCATCAATTTTAATGTTAAATTAATATATTGTTTCGTGTCCAGGGTTCTGCAACTAATAATAACAGGTTCTGGATTGGATGATTTGATTTATTAACAGCTTCTTGTACAGTTTCTCTTAATCACAATAAATTATAGCGCTGTTGCTGATCTGACCACTTCACAAATCACTAAGACATGCTCCACTTTGTTCTCATACTCCATTGAACTCTGTTTTACTCCTTCATTCTCATTCTCTGACTTTCGTTTTTCCACAGCAATTCTCTTACAGCTTCTGAACTATCAATTCCAATTCTCTAATCCCTCTTGCTACAAACAGACCCTTGTTATATAGCCTTAGGTCGGACCTCATGGAAAGCACCATCTTGTGTAATGTTGGCCGCATATATCACGTGTTGCATAGCAATGATCGCTGTGTGGTCCACAGAAAACACTTCTGCTGTGTTGTGCCTGTGTGTGTTTTGAGCGTTGCCTAGCAATGGGTCTGTTTGTCACAATATATTAGACATTTTACAAGGGCCATACCAAAAATGAGGAGCAGCAATGGTTTATGTTTGTTTTATTGACATGACAGCACTAAGGATTATAGGGCCAGTAGCTGTATCTGTTTTCTGTATTGTGAAATACAGGTCCTGCACATGCACACCAATAGGTACCTAGTCTACTGTGACAGAATGGCTGTAAATGATGTATTGTTTTGCCAGTTTGTTGCAATTGAATTCATCATAAAGGAGAGGACTTCTGCTGCAAACATCTTTGATCAGTTTAGTCATTTCTGTGGAGATTCATGCATGGTTACCAGCGGTGTTCGATGTTGGGTGGAACACTTCAGAGATGGCAACAGGGATATTGCTGATCTGCCTTTGCAGTAGTTCACCAAGAACTACCACCACAGAATGTTATGGGCAGAAAGTTGATGCTGTCATCACAGAAGACTGAATGGTGACAGTTAAGGACACTGTAGCACTGCTTGACATTGGACATGGTGCCGTGCAGGAGAAAATAAAGATTTTGGGATACCAGAAAGTTTGTTGTCATTGGGTTTCCTGAATGCTAAAGGGCATGCATGGATGTGTCATTGCTATTGCTTCAACAAAATACTGCTAAGATTGATGACTACCTGCTGAACACTGTGACTGGTTATGGGAACTGGTTTGACACTTTTGACCCAAGAACAAAATTACAGAGCTAGAAATGCCATCATGCTGCACCTCCAAAGAAGGAGGAGGCCAGAAGCATACCATCCACTTGAAAAAAATATGGGAACAGTTTTCTGGAATGCTGAGGTGTTCATACTGGTTGATTTCCCCTATAATGTGTCTCTCAGTGTCCAACACATTTTAGTAGGCTGTACTATTCAGTGTGATCATCTTTACTCTGTTCAGTGCTTGGTTATGACCCTGATGTCTTAACCAGGATTTTAGTCTTTTTTCAAGCCACTAGCATATCTCATCTTCGATACAGTACAAGGGGGTACACAAAAGAAACCGAACTTATTTTTTTTTAAACTTATTTATTCAAATTTTAAGCACAAACCTTCAATTCCCTTCAAAGTACTCTCCACTTACACTAATACACTTGTCTAGTCTTTTATTCCATTTTTCAAAACATTGTCTAAATTCATATTTTGAGATGCTTGACAGCGCCTCCGTCGTTTTTTCCTTCACCTCAGCAACATCAGCAAAACGCTTTCCTTTCATGTCTCTTTTCATTTGAGGAAACAAAAAAAAAGTTTTGATCATTTCGGGACTCTTCTTTCAAAGCACAGCATGCTTCCACGTGACCTTGTTTTTGTTCAGCAGTCAGCAGTCGTGGCACGAATTTCGCAGCCACCCTTTTCATTCCCAAATCTTCTGTCAAAATTCACTGAACTGAGCTCCAAGTCACTCCCAACAGCTCCACAATTTCTTCAATGGTCCATCGTCGATCTTCCTTGATGATTTCACGAATTTGTTCAACATTTTCATGTGTTTGGGCCGTGGAAGGACGGCCAGAACGAGGTTTGTCATCAATTGACATTTCACCATTTTTGAAATGGGAAAACCACTCAAACACATGAGTTTTCCCCATAGCATCGTCCTTGTATGCCGTTTTTAACATTTCAAGAGTTTCTGTTCCACTTTTCCCGAGCAAAAAGCAGAATTTCACCGCCCCATGCTGTTCACAAAAATCAGCCATTGCAAAAACAGTTGTCACTATAAACTCTGCCGAAACTAGTCCTTACCTTCTGAAGCAATGGTAGTCGGCTTATCGACTCAGGAATGTTAGCTCTATGCGCCCATAGCAGCAAAACGTGGTACTACAAGAGCTCTGCCCACAAAAAAATTAGTTAGGTTTCTTTTGGGTACCCCATCGTATACTTGCCTTCTGTACTTCCTGTTAAGAAGGTCCTATGCCATTGAAACTACCAGCACATTTTTTTGTAGCGTAACTAGCAGATAGGTGTGAATAGCTGTAGTATCTTATGCACCTGTAAAGCCACCACCACTGCTGTCACCACATTTTGTTTCAGAATCTGTTGTCTTTCCATCTCATACCGTAAACTGCAAAGATTAAAATATCCGAAGGGCGTGATTCTGCCCGTAGTTTTGTATGGGTCTGCAGCTTGGAGTTGCACGCTTAAAGAACCTAAAATGAGAATGGAGCTAATAAGGTGCTGAGAAGAATGTTTGGATCTGTGAGGGAAGATATGATAGGAGGCTGAAGAAGTTGCATAATGAAGAATTTTGTAATTTGTGCTTTTCACCAGATATTATTAGGATGATAAAGTACAGGAGAATGAGATGGATAAAGTATATAGTTAGAAGACCTGAAGGGAAAAGACCTTATGGAAAATCTGAGAATGGATTGGAAGATAGTATTAAAATGGATCTTAAAGTAACAGGCTTTGATGGTGTGGACTGTATTCATCTGTCTGTGTATAAGTCTAGTGGTGGGCTCTTTGAGAACACAGTAATGATTCTCTGTAAGAGGCAGAGGTATTTTAGTAGCTGAGTGAGTCTTGGCTTTGCTGTGCGAAGTTAGCTAGTGACATGCTCTTTTGTAGGTACTGTCAAGGGACTGGTATGATAGCATCATCTCTATTGCTACTTATGGAGGAGGAGGACACATTTTGGATGTTGAGCACAATTGTGGAGGACATTCTGCCAGCATCATATTATTCTTCTACACTTTTAGGTAAATCCTGTTCACACTTACATTTCAAGATAAAGATTAAGACTCAAGTCTAATTTGATAAATTCCCGAAGTACCCTATGAAAATTTTGTTAGGAGATTTCAATGCCAAAGTAGGGAGGGAAGACATTTTCAAACCAACAATTGGGAATGAGTGTTTGCATGAAATTAGTAATGATAATGAAGTTAGAGTTGTAAACTTTGCCACATCAAGAAATCTTACTGTCAAAAGTTCCCACATCGTAACATCCATAAATTTACTTGGACATCTCCTCATGGGAAGATACACAATCAAATAGACCACATTTTGATAGATAGGAGACGGCACTCAAGTATACTTGATGTCCGATCATTCAAGGCAGCAGATTGTGATACTGACCACTACCTGGTGGTGGCAAAGGTTAGGGAAATACTGGCAGTGAGCAAACAAACAACACACAGAGTTCATATGGAGAGGTTCAATCTCAAGAGATTAAATGAGGTAGAGGGTAAAGAGCAGTATCATATTGAAATCTCAAATAGGTTCACGGCTTTGGAAAACTTGGACACTGAGGTGGATGTTAATAAAACTTGGGAAACTATTAGAGAGAATATAAATATGTGTGCCAAAGAGAGTCAAGGTTATTATGAACTGAAGAAGCATAAGCCATGGTTCGATGAAGGATGATCAGAATTATTAGATCAAAGAAAGCAGGCCAAATTGCAATGGTTACAGGATCCAAGCAAGTTAAATGGAGATAATCTGAACAATATAAGACGTGAAACCAGCAGGCATTTCAGGAACAAAAAGAGGGAATATCACTTCGTCGGCAACCTGGGGACCACCACACCAGCATGGCAGGAGGCGTGTGAATAATTATTCCGGTGGAGCTGTGGGGTTAAATATNGATTCTGAGATGTTTCTGTTTCTATGAATAATCATTCAAATGGGACATGACATTAGAGACAGACTAAAGGACTACTGGTCGACTGCAGAACAATTTGCCACGCCTTTCTACTCTAGCACAATGAAACGCGACCGTTTTCTACACATTCTTCGTTTTCTTCATTTCGCAAGACAATTAATACAGAAACTGACAGGAATGCCGACAGTTATGACCGACTATGGAAAATTCGGACCATCTTCGACACTCTCAATGACGCATATGAAAAATATTATAACCCTTCCGAACATTTGGCCATAGACGAGATAATTGTTAAATTCGAAGGGAGGGTGGTTTTTAGGCAGTACATTCCTAAGAAACACAAACGTTTCAGAATCAAAATCTTCAAAATTTGTGACGCCGCTGGGTATACTTATGACATGAAGGTTTATCTAGGAAAAGACAGGACATGTGCCAACCAAGATGTGACAGCGACACATGCTACAGTTAGGGATCTATGCAGAAATATTGAGGGCGTAGGTCACAAATTGTACATGGACAATTTCTTTTCGTCACCAGACTTGTTTAAGGAACTGATGACAAAGGACATAACGTGCTGTGGGACAGTTAGACCTAATCGGAAGGGCTTGCCTGACGATTTTCGACGAAGACAATTTCGACTGAAGAAAGGTGACATTCGTGTTAGGGTGAGACGGAACTTGACAGCACTAGTTTGGAAGGACAAACGTGATGTATACATACTGACAGACATGCACTGTCCTCCAGCAGAAGGCAGTTTCTGTGATGAGCATGGAAATGCCATGAAGCCAGCAATTGTTGCTGACTACAACAAGCACATGGGTTATGTCGACAAAGCGGACAGAATGGCAGACAGGTATAGCATCAGTCATCAGACCTGGAAATGGACAAATAAACTATTTTTCCATTTCCTGGATATGACGATTCTGAACAGTTTCATCATGTTGTCATCCTGTGGCGCGAAATTGTCACACAGAGAATTTCGTCTCGCCCTTGTGCGCAACTTGCTGGAACATGCTGCAAGGGGTCCACCTTGCCCTCAACAGTCCAGGGGTCGATCTCCTGCTGTGTCATCAGCGATATCTCGATTAGAGGAGGCCTCTCGACATCACTGGCCGACTTCCTCTACTTCGAGATTGAGATGTTGTGTGTGCTCTTCGCGTAGGAAATGAAGTTACATCCGGACAAAATGCATGAAGTGCTACGTTGGACTATGCATTTCCGGATGTTTCCAACAGTTCCACACGAAGGCAACATTCTCTTAGATGACGCAGGAGGGGAGACAGATTACTTATAAAGCTGGTGTCCAAAAATAATATAAGTAGAACAAGAATTTCTATCTTAAAATTAGATTTTAAGACACTGTGCGCACGCGTGGACTGCGCATACCCATACGGTGTCTTTCGGCTCATAAAGGTTAATACCTGATCCTAGCCCTTTTGAGGTTGAAAGTGCTATTGCAAAATTGAAACTGTATAAATCGCCAGGTAGTGATCAAATTCCAGCAGAACTTATTCAAGCAGGAGGAGAAATATCATGTTCTAAGATCCACAGTCTAATTACTTCTATTTGGCTTAAGGAAAAATTGCCTGATCAGTTGGAAGGAGTATATTATTGTACCAGTGCACAAGAAGGTTGATAAAACTGACTGTAGCAATTATCGGGGGATATCGCTGCTATCAACGTCATATAAAATTTTGTTCAATATTCTTCTTTCAAGGTTAAGTCCATATACAGTGGGACCTTGCTTAACGAGCATAATTTGTTCCAGAATCTTACTCGTAATGTGAAACACTTGTTAACCCAAAACAATTTTTCCCATATAAATTAATGTAAAATACGATAATGCGTTCCATGCCAAAAAAAAATACTAAAAAAATTTTATGTATAATGCTTATTCAAAGAAAATTATATATACGTGGGGCAATCCAAAAGTTTCCGAAATTTGAATTTTGCGCGCGAATGGTTATGAGTACATCGAAATACCGCTAGCTCTCTCCTCACATTCTCTCGAATCAGTGTGGCAAGTGGCATCAATTTGAGTGGCTGAGTTTATTGATGGTGAACATATTTCTGTTGTTTCCATGAGTTTGCGGTTTTGCGATGGCTGACCTGAGAGAGCAGCATGTCTGTATAAAGTTTTGTTTCAAACTTGGGAAAACCGCTGCAGAAACGCACCAAATGTTGGAGCAAGCTTTTGGTGAAAACAGTTTAGGCCAGACACAATCTTACAACTGGTATAAGTGTTTTAAAAATGGTCGAATATTGACTGATGATGACCATCGTTCAGGATGGCCGTCAACAGGCAGAACACCAGAAAATATCATGAAAGTTAGGGATCTGATTCTGTAAGATTGTAGACTGACCATCCAAGACCTCTGTAACACCTTGGAACTAAGTTATGGTACATGTCAACGAATTTTGTCAGAGGAGCTGAACATGAGGATTGCAGCGAAGTGTATGACATGACTGCTGCAAAATTAACAGAAGCAGCATCGCTTGGAAGTCTGCAGGGAACTTCAGCAACAGCTTCAAGAGGATTCAAACTTTCTTTCGAAGGTTGTCACTGGTGACGAAAGTTGGGTTTATGGCTACGACCCTGAAAGCAAGCAGCAATCATCGCAATGGAAGAGGCCTTCTTCACCTCGGCCAGAAAAAAAACTTGACAAGTCAAGAGCAACATTAAGTCCATGTTGAGCTGTCTTTTTGATAGTGACAGGATTGTTCATAAGGAGTTCGTCCCTCCTGGTCAGACAGTCAAAAAAGAGTTCTATCGCGATGTTCTAAGGCGTTTGAGGGAGAACATGAGGAGAAAACGTCCAGAGAAGTGGCGCACAAATGACTGGGTACTCCACCTTGACAACGCACGACCGCGTACGGCTTGCATTGTGCAGGAATTTTTGGCTAAAAACAAGATGGAAGTTGTTCCCCACCCACCGTACTCACCAGACTTAGCTCCATGCGACTTCTTTCTCTTCCCCAAGATGAAAATCAAGTTGAAGGGGCAAAGATTTGATACAGTTGAGGAAATTCAAGCGGAAACGCAGACGGTACTAAACACCCTAACAAAGAAAGACTTCCAGGATGCATTTGAAAAGTGGCAGAAATGCTGGGATTGGTGTATGTGCTCCCAAGGGGACTACTTTGAAGATGATGGTGCAGAATAAGATCTGGGTAAGATGTAATAGTTTTTATTAATATATTTTGGGAACTTTTGGATTGCACCACGTACATTGTTAAGGAATGTGAATCATCTTCATCTTTTCTTCTATGCGAAATGAACCAACCTGGAATGTGAATTTGATTTGCAGAAAACAAAAAAAAAATCGAAATAATTAGTTTATTATTTATGATACATATCTAATTCATTTTTACTAGAAAGCTGTCTAGTGACATTTGTTTTTGCCAACGCCTCAAAATTTGGTGAAAATGCAACACAGCATTATCATTAAATAAATTTGTAGCGCACATAGCCACTGCCATATTAGGGTGATACTTCTCAGTGTACAATGCAACAGTTTCCCATGCTTTCAGCATTTCTCTTATTGCACCAGAAGATTGTTACTTTGCTGTTACCTCCTCCTCCTCCTCCTCTGACAAACTCTCCTCCACAACTTCTTGCTGTGAAACACAATGCAACTCCAAATCGTGCAGATCATTGATGTAGACCGATTGTATGTGCGTGCTAGGTCAGCCACGCTCACATCTCGTTCTCGCTTTTCAATGATTTTACGTTTGATTTCTACAGTTATATTTATTCTCTTATAGCTGTGTTTTTGTGGCTTTTTCTTTGGGGACATTTTTGCAGTAGTTATTAAACTTTGCACAAAAAAAATCACAAATAATATGTCTGAACACAAGTTTGGAAAAATGTGTGATCACAAGTGACAGTAAGAGACTAGCGGAATGATTCCTAAACACAGACTGATATAGCAAGTGTAGAATCCGGGACTTCCCCTCTCGTCACTCATTTTACGAAACGTCGCTCGTTAAGCAAATTTCTCATTATGAGGTGCTCGTTAAGCGAGGTTCCACTGTATAGATGAAATTATTGGAGATCATCAGTGTGGGTTTCGATGTAACAGATCAACTACAGATCAG